AATTATATTAAGAGAGTTAATTAGTTGTTCTACTTCTTTCTATTTTTTGATTATTTTTATTGTATAACTTCGTTTGATATACATGCTGTGCCAATATCCATCGTCTAAAGTGCCTTTCTTGAAGTTTCGAAATCAATTACTGTAAATTTTAATAAATAATGATTCTATGTTTCAATCCAACGTATTCGTGTATGCGTATAAATTCTCGTACAACAAATTTCATTGTCACCAATATTACCGGATTTGCACACTTGCCATTCTAGTTAGCAGTTAACCATATATATACTTCGTAATGTTATTATTACGTTCCTGGCATTAACACTCCTGAAGATTGTTGGGAAATAATTTCAAACCTGAAGTTGTTAAGAAATGCAGATGAATCAGGTAAAGATAATTGGATCTGATGAAAAATTATATATATTAATTAATAAGCAGATCGGTAACTATGTTTTTTGAACAAAGACACTGGATTTGAAATATACATTGAATAACTCATTCTTTACTCGTTCGGAATATTTGGCACAATCGGCTCACGATTAAATTATTGAGAAGCAATGCATCATTGATCTGCAATACATATTCGTGAGGAGCTAATTTTTGTATAACTTCGATTGTGAAAACCATAGATCTTTCTGAAAGTGGTTTCAAACAAACTGAATCTGGATTTAGATTTTCTCATCAGGCGTTTTAAAAACCAAACTATTTTTGAATGATTGACAATAACGATAACTAGTAGAAAAAAATTTTTTTTTTTTTATTACAAATAACGATACCAAACTACCTGATATCTTAAAATGACACATTGAAATTGTAGGCATAAGTAGAAGGGATATTCCCCATACGATAATTCATAATTCAAAATTAACTGTAAAAGCTAACGTTATAAAGCAAGAGAATACCAATTATGGCAGACAATGTACCATGGTAAAAGCGAACAAGGAAATTGAATAAAAATTACTGTATAATAGTAACAAATAATTCATAAAAACAAGATTTTTCTGCTAGTTAAATTTCGCACCTGAATTAATTATTTGGTTTGGCATCATCAGAAAGTACTGGATTAAAAGCGAGAAAATTATCTTTAAAGCATAACAATAATTGTTGATAAGCATATGTAACAATAATTGTTGATAATTGCTTTTTTTTTTTTTTGTACATTGTACATAAATATTTACATGCGATATGAAATCATTAACTTGCCAGTTTGACTATTTTAGAAATCTGCACGTACGCCTTAAACTTTGCCTTGATTGTAGATCCATAACGTAATTATTCGAAAACTTGATTTTGAGAATTAAGCTAATCCTAATATGAAAATTGCAGAACGCGTCCTTAAATAACGAACCTTAACTATTAAAATACGTACATTAGCTAGGTTTAGGGATGTAGGCTTCATAAGACCGAGTTTCAAAGAAATTTCGATATTACAAAAATCGAAATGTCAATGTATCACAATGCCAATGACGAATCTTTTCCTCTTAAATTAAAAAAAAATGGCTTTTAAATAAGCCATATTAAGTAACTCAAGAAAGTCGAATGCATAGAATATTTGATCAAAGGGATCTCTGCAATAGAAGATCGTACTACTTCGCGATCTCTGCGCCAGTATAATCTTACGGAGATAAATGAGCTCATGATCTTCAAACAGTTAAATGTTTTTGTTTTGCGCCTATTTCATGTGTTTGTAAAATATAAAGAAAATCATATATTTACGAATTCTTGGTGAATAGATTTAACTATGCGCGATTTTCGCATGGATTAATGAAAGGTTGGAATTTTCTCATCTCAACACGAACAATGTTAAATTTATTAATATATCTATACAAGACAATAATATAACATTCGGATACTTCTTCGAAACTGCATATAGACAATTTCAGAACCACGTAATACATTAGTGATTTCTATTATCTGACAATGACAAGGTTAATTTTAATACTAACCAATATTAATGCGCGCCATTGAAAACTTCCGCGCCAATTTAGTACGCGATCATCTTCAAGACTTTGACTTTGTACGTAATCCAGGGGTATTCCAACTTTTTTTTTCAAGTGGTATTGTCATAATTATTATTACATTTTGAATATCTTGTTTTTTTTTCCACAGTCTCTCTACCTTAACACTTACACTCAGTTTGCTCTATATTCTTTCTTTTTACTTTTAATATTTTTAATATTCTTTTAAAATAAAGTTAGAAAATATGTCCACCGATAGAATATTAATCAAAAAGAGCAAAGTTACTTTATCACAGCCACCTGTTGCTATCGGCCGAGGTGCTATGGGTGAAGTGTATTTAGCTACTTTTCAGAATAAACTTGTGGTTGTGAAAAAAAGTCATGTAAGCTCATTATATAAGCTCATCATACACTTGTTTTGTTAACGGGTCATTATTGTTACTTATTTGTTTGTTTTCGTTTGCTGTTTATCTGTGTATAATAATGACGTTACCAGCGGGACATGGACCTATTGCTAAAAGAATATAGCAATTATCTTAAACTTCGCAACCATAACAATATATTAAAGTTTTACGGTGTAATACGAGATGATAAATACACATTTTCTCTGGTTCTAGAGTATGCTTCAAATGGCAATCTTTCTAGCTACCTTAAAACTCACACTGTTGATTGGAAATTTAAGGCCGGAGTTTGTCGTGATATTGCTATGGGATTAATGCATTGTCATGATAATAATGTGTTGCATTTTGACCTTAAACCTGAAAATATCCTTTTGGATAAATCTTTAATTCCAAAATTAGCTGATTTTGGAATTTCGAAAACTAAAAGTCGAATGGTTTTGGATAATGGTAAAGCTGGTGGAACTTTGAACTACGTAGCTCCAGAAAGAGTCTGCCGTGATCTCAAAATGAGAGAACTCTTTGAAAAGTATGTTTATCTTCATTAAGTTTCGTTTAATCTTCTTAACGTGATTTCACTTTAGTTACGTACCACAGCCATCCTAAACTCTCCGATATATATTCTTACGGACTAATCTTGTGGTCAGGTAAACCTATTCTACTTTTGTATGTATTTTTACTCTTGAATTATTTCTGATAAATGCTCCCCTAATAGTTGCCAAAGATGGTGAACATCCTTACGAAGGCATGGACGATGATGAGATAAAAGAACAGAAACGTAACCAGGATTCAATGCTTCTTCTTATAAAACAGCTACCGAATACCACTCCGTCAGAATATTGTCAACTTATTTTAGATCTAACTAAATATAATCCGGGAGAACGATTTGATTTGGCAGTAGCAAGACTCGAATTAGAGGATTTGTTTGATGATGATCGTAAGATTTCTTTAACATCATAAACTGTCATAATTTTTACTTTTTACTATATTATTAAAGTTACTATTTAATTTTTTTTTAATTTTTTAATTTATTTTATTTTTAGTTACAGATGATGATAAAGAAAAAGATGCCAACATGGCTGATTATTTATCCATTGATTACCTTGAACCCGACGAAGATGACGAAGCCATGTCTGCTTACAATTACTCTGACACTAGTAGTAATCGTGCATCAACGTCCACATCGATTGAGACCCCAATAGATAGTGATAAAGATCTCGGTCTCGGAAAGGCAGGCATAGAAGTGTCTAATGAAATTAAATCACCGATCGACGGCAATTACAGACACGATAACAAACAACATATATTTAGAAAGGGCAGTGTAGATAGTTATAACCGTCGACGAGATAGTTTAGAAATGAATAGTCGGTCGATTAGCTCCACGACTTATTATCAACCAAGTAGCAACGAAAGTGGTGCTTATCATAGACATAGTATTTCCGACCCTTCTAGTAACGAACCTACCAGAACCGAGATGATTATTGACAAATATCCACCTAGGATCAGAGTAAATGTGGATTATCAAGCATTACCTAATGATTCACCTACGACTCCACAAATTCCGCCGTTCGAAAGAAGCCTTTTAATATCTAAACCTGAACTTAGTATAATGGAAGATGTACTTTCCATATGCGACAATTGGGAAAGATTCACAGATGATATAATGCTAAAAAAATTATCAATTCTATGTCGCGAAAAAAGAATGAAACCTAAAGACATTTATGAAATTTTTGAGGCCAATCCATCAGGATCTCCTGACTATTATTTCGTATTAGGATTTTTTAGTGAACACGGTTTTGGAATGGCACAAAATCCACAGATGGCATTTGAATTTTATTCTAAAGCAGCTGAGACGAGAAATTCACGTGGAGAAGTCTATGTAGGATGGTGTTATTTTAAAGGAATGGGAACAACAAAAAATCCGCTTAAAGCATTTCAATACTTTCAACGTGCTGCCAATCGAGGATGTGTTTCAGCATATAATAATGTTGGGTGGTGTCATGATATTGGATTTGGTACAGCTTGTGATCCTTACAAGGCATTTGAGTTCTTCAAAGCATCCGCTGAAAGAGGTCATGCTACAGCACAATGTCGAGTGGGCGTGTGTTATCAATTTGGTCGGGGCACAGTTAAAGATTTGGAAAAAGCACTTGAATGGTATACAAAAGCAGCTGATAATGGTCATGAAACTGCAAAAAAGCGTGTTAGTGAACTGACCAAA